ATGAATCTGCAAACTAGAAAAAGGAAGTTACAACCAACCTTTTCCCAACAAGGTGTATTTAAATCACTTACATCAAATACCCAAATGGCGATTGTTGAAGTGAATGGTGAGAATGTTCGAGTTCCTATTAAGCGAGTCAAGACTATACAAAAGAAGTCATGACCTAATTGCGATAGCATTTAAATAGTTGGATGGGTGGGCGAAGCTTTTTTTTTTTTTTGAAACCTTTTTTTTTTTTAAAAAAAAAAAAAAGGTCAAAGAAAAATAACCCGGTTTTTTTTTGGCCTTTTTTTTTTAAAAAAAAGTAAAAAAAAAGTACTGCTTTTTTTTTTGAGGCGGAAATTTTCTAAAATCGATGGATTTTTTTAGAACAAGCTGATAGCTTGGTTTTTTTTGTAAATAAATGTAAAATTCTAGGATTATCGTTACATAGTCATGTTATTTGAACTATTCTAGCATCGCCAATCTCAAATTTGCTATTAAAATTTGAGGTCTAGTGTAATATAAAATTAAATTCAAACTATAACATCTGAATACTAGATCCCGAATCGAGTCCCAAACCCTAACTATTATAAATTTGGAATTTTTAGGATGTGATGCATGGTCACAAGTTACGTGAATTTCAGTATCATCTGATTTCACGATCATCCGCGACAATAATTTATCAGCTCTTGCAGCATATCTCTCAAATGTATTTAAAACTAACATTCCAACTCTATTTAAAAATACATTTGAAATAGAAACACATGATAAGGCTGCTAATTGAATATAATCTCCAATTATGTTTCATTTGATTAAAAGTTCTTGTAAACGTAGAGTATTAATAGAATAATAGTAAGCAATTTTAACCTCATATTCATCTAATTTTTTAAATGAAATATTTAGTAATGAATCTAAATATTTTTGATATTCAATATTACATTTCAATAATAGCTTTTTTGCCAATTCTTTTAAAAGTTCTGAATTGAAAAAATATTTAATTGCTGTGATATAAATATACATAGAATGTAAATTATTACATTTTTCTGGTGGTAGATATGGTAGATCAGCCTTTCCCTCTAACTTCCAAATTTGTAAAATATAATCTAATGTATGTTTAAGTTCTTGTTGAAATGTTTTTTTAGCTCAGACTAATAAATCTACAAATATAGTATCCTGTTTATAAAAATATTCACATTTTGTATTTTCTATTGGATTAACTTTTATCTCTCTATTAATAATATTGAAGCTTGCAAATTTATACTTTGAATTCTTTTTATCTAAATCTTTATTAACAATATGAATATCTTTTTCATATATATTTGAAATTAATTTAGATTTTTTTCCCAATAACTTTTCAACAAATTCATCTCTAATTTCTAGTAATTCTACTTTTTTTAACACATTTGGCCAATCAAAACCCCCTATATTATATCTAATTTCAATATCTCCATTAAATCCATAATATATTTCAGCAAATTTTAATAATAATTTCTTTTCAGTTTCTACTTTAACAAAAATAAAATCTTTAGAATCACATGAAATTTTTTCTGAATACTTTGAAAAAAAAAGAGATATGTTTATCAGTAATGTTGTGATATTGTATCTTTTAAATAGTTTGAGATTATTATAAAAAAATATCAAATTGAATTATATATATGTCATCTAATTTCTTATTACCTTCTGAAAAATATCTAGAACCATGTTGGCTACCCCATTCTGTATCCTACGCTACTATAATTAATTTAGGTATCTCTTTAATAAATCACCTTTTTTAATATTACTCAGGATTACTAAAATATTATTGTAAATTCTTCTATCCTTTAATTGATACCAACCAACAAGCTCAAAATCATTTTTTCGTGCAACTTTTCAATAATGATATGATATATTATCTGAATATATAACATAATGTTTTCAAAAATTTTCAATCTCTTGTATAATTTCTTTTTCTTTTTCTTTTAAATATGCTTGTACTTTTAATTTGTTTAATTCATCAAGTTTATCTTTTAACTCTTGTAATGCTACTTTTCATTCTTTATGTATTTTGAAATATAAATAAATAAAATTATATTTTTCTGTTGAACCAAATAGCTGTTTTTTAATAATTTCAAAAGAATCTGGTTTAAATTCATCAACATACGAATCAATTAATTCTTTACTCTCATTCTTTAACTTAATATCAAAAAATATATCTTTTACAACAATGTTTATAGTTATTTTTTCTCTATTTGTACAAACAAAGAATAAATATAGCAAATAATTTTTATAATTAGAAGCATTAATAGCTTTATATACGAAAAATAAATCTAGTTTTTTATAAGAATTTATTAAATCTTTATATGTTATTTTCATATACATATAAAAAAATTTATTCAGTTAATTATAACTGAATATTATTTATTAATATACTTTATTTTCATTAATAGTATACAATTTGTAATTTTCTTGATACTGCAATGCTTTAACTATTTTTTTACAAATAGATAAAAATTTAATTACTTGTTCTTCTGTTTTAATCTTTTTCAGAAAATAATTAAATTCAGCGATTAAGCTTAAGGTTTCATGATATTTTTTTTTGAAACTATTAAAAAAATGAATAATCAAGAACATCAACATATAAAAATTTTTCTTGTAATTGTTGAAGCTCTTGACAAAAGATATATATTTTTAATTTATATAATTACTTTTCTAATCAGTTTTTAAAAAAAAACTGATTAGAATTTAAATAATTGTTAAAAATATATATTATATTCTTGTACTTTAGTATTAGTAGTATTAAAAACAATATGTTTAGAATATAATTCAGAAGCATTATTTTCATAACTATCACAAAGAGATTTTAAATATTCTAATAAAACCTTTTTACTCTTTCTATTTCTTTTAACTTTTCATTCATAACAAATTTCAGGTGAATATTTAATAAAGAAATTAAATTTAGCATTAATTTGTTCTTCCCTTTTCAATTTCTTTTTAAAATAATCAAGTTTCAACTTATTATCAATAAGAATTTCGAGTATCCTTGGCAGTTCTATCAATTAAATAGATATCATATTCATCTTTTCTGATTATTTTATTCTCTTTCTGATACGCATCAATTAAAAGATCTTGAAATATAAATCTATATCTTTGAGTATCTTGATAAAAATATTCCAAATCTTGTTTAAGTCAAAGTAACATCTCTTCAGGAAAATAAACTTTTAATACTTGTTTTTCAAAAAAATCCTTTAATTTGTTTAAGAATGTTGTTTTTCCAGCACTAATTGAACCAAAAGCAACAATGACTTTAGGATTTGGTTTTGAATTTTTAATACCCATTTTTAATTATATAAATAAAATTAGATTTGGTAAAATTCGCTAAATATTTTAATAAGGATTAGAATAAATAATACATTTTTTAGCTTTAAATCTCCTCATCTTAATATTATCAATAGAACATTCTTCAGCTTCTGGATTTAAATATTTAATCATTTTTGGTTCTTTCTTTTTGTTTTGTATATTTTTAAAATAACTAAGTGCTTCTTTTTCATTTAAAATTTTAATCTCAGGACAACAACTTTTTCACCAAATTTTAGCTTGTTTGGTTAATGATTTTTGTAATTTTTCACTATTGTAAATAATAATTCCTATTTTTTTACCAAATCTTTTAAAAGCTAATTTGATTTTTTGTAAATTTTGAAGACCAAGAGATTTAACAATATTTTTACATTGAATTAAAAATATTTGTTTGTTTAGAGTAGCAATCATATCTATTCTAAAATCACCAGGATGACAAACAATTATATTTGCTACCAATCCAATTTCATTTAAAAATTTTGCAAGAAGTTTTTCGAAATTATGACCTATTAAATAATTAGACTGAAAAAATGTTAACAAAAGTTTTTTATTTGCCCAAATATTCAAATATCACTATCAAATTTTGACTCGCCACCATGCATTATGGATACCAAATATCTTTCGAAAAAATCAAAATATATCCTTAATGTTTATTAATATATTCAGAATATATCTATTTTTTTCTAGAGCAGCGTAATTTTCAAACTTATTTAAATGATTTTACTCACCAATTTCAAAGATTTTCAGTATAATCTTCTTCATCTAATTTTAAATTAGCCATTTTTTTATATTAATAAAATTCTATTCGGTCATAAATAGACTGAATAGAAAATTATAAAAAAAAATAACACAATAGAGAATAATAAAATATTTTTTAAAAAATAAATTTTACTAATCATATTTGAAGTTTTTAATAAAATTTTATTAACGACTTCTTCTATGGAAAGATATGTTGTATCAATAACAAAAATTGTTAAGAGTTTTATAATTTCTTTAATAAATTTAATTGATAATGTATCTTGTTTAATTATATCTAAATAAATAGTATTATGAATATTACTTTTTAATTGATTTAACCTTCTTTGAACACATATTTCAAAATCAGCTATTAATAAAATTTTAATTCAGCATTAGGAAGAATATTTGTTGCAGAATCACGACCAGATATAATATATCCTCCTTCTTTGATATTTTTATAAATTATCTTATTAATTTTTTTTTGTATATTGTTGTTTTTAGCAATTAAACTAGCTTTTAAACTATTTTTAATATATTTATCATTTTCAAAAAATACTAATTCGTTAAGTTGAAATATATGTTCAATTTTTTCTTGTTGTAATAAAGTTAATAATTTTTGTTCATCTTGACTTGCTGTTTTTGTTGCTAGATATTGATAAAATAATCTACTATCAATAAATTGATAATTTAACTTTAATGCAAGTGATTGACCAATAGTAGATTTTCTCGTTGATAATAAACCATTGATCGTTATATTAATTTTCATAATTATATAATTAAATTTCTAACTGGTTATTAACTAGTTAGATTATATTTATTAAATAAAATAAAATAAAATAAAATATATAAATTATTTTCTTTAACTTAACCAAATCTATTCTTGAGACTTCAAATTCCAATTACCATGTCTATTATTTTCTTTTTCTTCAACTAATTCTTTTTTACTAAGAACTTCATCATTATTTACAATAATATTTAATTCCTCACTAGTTCTATTTGAAATATTATCATCTACCTTTACTCTTTTTTTTTTACGATTTACCGCATTACATTTTTTTGAAATCATTTCAGTGATTATTTCTAAATTATTTTTTAAACTATCAGTTAATTTAAACTTCTTAAGTTCTTTTAAATCACAAAGAAACCATGTATCATGATTTTTAGGTTCAGTATTTTCAGGAATTTGATTAATAACAGAAAAAAAATAAAAGTTCTAACTAAACATTCTTTCCTATCAGGAAATTTTCTAAATCTATTTTTAATATTAATTAATTTTAATTCTTTAATAGAAATATTTGCTTCTTTCTTAGCTTCACAAATTGCACATTGATCAAATGTTTTATTTTTTTCTTTTTTTCTTCTAACAACTTGATAATGATTATAATAATCTTTATCAGGATTATTTCTTCTACTAAGCCAAACCTTTTTATTTGCATTAACTAAAATATAAATAGAAAACTCTCTATTTTCAGTTTTATATTTATCGATAATTGCTTTTTTTTGTTGTAAAAGATTTGTATTAATAAAAATTTGACTTTTGATTTCTAATTTTGTTTTTAAATAATCGAGAGTAAATCTATATTAAGGAATTAAATTTAGGGTATTCAAAAGAAAAAATACATTTTATTAAGATTTGAAATATCACTATATTCTTTCAAAGCTGAGTCATATTCTATTTTTTTTTAATTATGTATTTAAAAATCTAATCGGTTAAAGACTGATTAGATATTATTATCTTTAAATATAATTTTATGAAAATTTATTAGTTTACATATAGTGTATAAACACGGATCTGTATAGTAAAGTAAATACAGTATATAAATATAGATTGACATAATATTATATAATAAAAAAAAATAAAATTTAAAAATTATAATGTAATCCTCAACCTAAAATAAATATCTATAATATAGCTAAAAACTAATCTCTTTTACACTTCACACTTGTTTGATAAATATTTAATCTAAAAACTAATCTTTTTATATTTCACGTTTGTTTGATAAATGCTTGATCTAAAACTAACTTTTTTCTTATACTTCGCACTTGTTTGATAAATGTTTAATCGGTTAAAATGAATGAACTTGAAGATCTTTTTCACGACGAGCAATACATATTTGCTTCGATTTTAATACCAGTTCCTGTGATTATTCTTTTTTATTTTCTATCCATACTCTATTACAAATACTTATCTTCTAACAAATAATTTTACTAGCCTTATGAACCGATTTTGATATTAAACTCCATGACTAAACTAAATTATGAAAACCCTATTTGCGATGATCAAGATATATCTGCTTCAACCTCAACACAAGCTCCTGTAATTAGCCCTATTTGCGATGATCAAGATATATCTGCTTCAACCTTCTGTAATTATTTGATTTTTTCGCTCTGTTCTTATCTGATACTATGCCATGCCTAAAGTTATCACTAATCTGAAGTTGCAGCTTCAGATGCCTGAAGTTGTAACTTCAGGTTAGTAATGATTTTAGGTACAGTATATATGTTGTCTAATCAAAAATTCTAACATATATTTACTTAACGCTATAGTTTCCTGAAGTGATGATCGATAGCAATCTATTTGATAATGAATCAGATAGATCAGATGATCCATCTGATTCAGTAGAATTGATTTTGGGACTTACTTTTCTCAACTAGAAGGAATTCAAGATTTGGTTAAATAGATTCACATTAAAGAATAGATTTAATTATAAAGTTAAAACAAGTGAAATAACTAATGGTGTAATGAAAAAAGCTACTTATGAATGTATTAAATCTAGTTTACATGCTCCGCAAGTTACATCAGACCCAACAAAGAGGCATAACATATACTCTCAACGGATACAATGCCAATGGAAGGTCAACATCATAATCCAAAAACAAGTAGTGTTGTAAAAATTAATTCCTTTATCAATGAACATAATCACCCCTTACTTCAATGATATATGAAATAGCACCACAGTTTTGAAAGTTGACAAGTAAAATGTTAAGTGATATAGAAAAGTATATTATCTAGGAGCGAATGGATTCAAGTTCTATTTATCTATTGTTAAAGCATGATTATTCAGACCAACCAATCCATAAGCGAGATTTGTATAATGTAGTTTACCAGTTTCATCAAAAAATAGTTCAGAGGAGGCAGATACCTTCCAAATGTTACAGTTACTATTAAATTGGAAGGATTCAGAGCCATTATGGGTTGTAAAGCCTCATTTAGATTCAGTTTCAAGATGATTGAATACTCTTTTTTGGATGTCTTCTACTCAAAGAGAGTTATATAGTAAATATAGTGATGTGGTAGTAGTGAATACTACTTTTAACACCAACAGGTTTAGAATATTGCTTTGTATTATAGCTGTAGTTGATAATAACTATAGAACTAGAATTGTTACAAGTGCTATAATGGAAGATAAAACACTAGATACTTACCAATAGATCTTTAATAATTTATTTACTGAAACAGGTGTTTCATCTAGTGTTATATTTACTGATTCAGACCCTTCAATGATCTGATCAATCATGGATACTTTCTCTAATGTTCAACATCTTTCATATATTTTTCATATAGATATGAATCTTCAAAAAAAAACTTAAAGGTAAATTAGATAATAAGTTTGAGGAATTTTGTTGTAAGTTTTTTATATATCAAAATTCTTTTTGTAAAGATCTATTTGAACATCGATGGAATTAGTTAGTTGATCAGTATCCTGTGGCACTAAAATACTTGTCAGAAACACTTTATGTTACTAAGGAATCATGGGTGATATCTTGGGTTTATGAATATTTTACAGCTGATATTCAAAGTTTACAAAGAGCAGAATTAATCAATAAAAATATTCACGACAAAGTTAATCATTTTACATCACTATACAACTTAGTACTTAGCATCAAGGATTATGTAAAAAATGATAAATATCTAGAAAATTTTGACATTGAACGTAACGCTTTACCTGTAATTGGCATACCAATGTTAAATTCAAGACTCTTTAGCCAAATAGATTCTACTATTAAGAATTTTTTAACACCAGTGATGCTCGACAAACAAAGATTTCAAATGAATTAATCCGTTTGTTATGATGTTAGTTGAATTATACAGTAGCAACAATTGATAGATGTAAGTAATCATCTATAATTTTATATGATACTTGAATTTTTTCATATACAGTACGTGTATACAGTATGTATAGTATGTACGATGCATATTTAGTGATTTGTACAGTATGTACAATATACAGTACATTTAAGCAATTAATACATAATACTCAGAACAAGAATCAGAAAACAGAAAATTCCTTATCTAATATTAACAACCCTGTTGTTATTAGACACAAAGACTAACCTTCTAAAAGACTCAAAGCAAGCATTGAAAAAAGCACACGTAAGGAGAAGCAAGTTTTAAAGGATAATGAAAATATTAATATACTAGATAACAATAACAAGAAAAACATGTAAATACAAATGGGAGAAAATACAGTAAATGTAAGCAATATGGGCATTATGCAAAGACTTGCTAATATGTTAATTAGTATTATTATGATGATGCTTAGTGGTCTGTATGTTAAATTAGCAGTAGTATTAGGTATGAAATTGTATTGATTTTATATAAGCATATCATTATTGTTGATCAAAGCTTCAATTATCATATGATTGCAAAATTGCTATATATATATATATATTTTTTTTTTGGTGTTAAGGTGGCCTCTTGGCCGGCTCCTTTTATTCGGTTATAGTTAACTTT